AGGGAGGGAGGGAGGGTAAACCTTAAGACCTTGACCCCTGAGCTCTAACGCCTTAAACCCTAAACCTTAAACCCTACAGCCTCAATTAATTAAGCCCTAAACACCCTAAGCCCTGAGCCCTAAGCCCCTAAACCCTACAGCCTCGGTCTTTTCGGTTTAGTACTCATACAATCCCGAGGCCCCCCCCCTATTGTTTTAATTAACTTTCAATTGTGCGCCCGAAATCGCAAAATCCCGGGGGCCAGCAGTGTTTATATGAGGGGGGTTTAATGTTAGTGGAAGGGAATACTCAATTGATGAACGGCGACCAGCCGGTCACTCGGTCGTTGAGCAACTCTCAGTTTGGTCATTCACACAGGCAGCCAGTCGGGTCACGCCATCGGCGGGTCAGGAGGTCAGATTAGGTCAGGACAGATCGGACAGCGCCAAATGCGTTGGCCGGGTGACCGTCAGGGCCCGTCAGCTCCAGCCTGGTCAGTTTGTCCAGTTCCTTCTGATGAGTTCGACCGGCCGACAGGACGGGTTGGCCAAATCCGATCAGGCGCTGCTGCGAAAAAAGCCGCTTGCGAGGCGAAGTGGATTTACATTGAGTGGTATGTGCACATGGAGCTGCATGAATGCACCTCGCAAGATGCAACCCGGTAGCCAGAGATGGAAGGAGACGCACAATCTTGGAAACAAAGGGCCTCGAGTCCTGAAAAACAAAAGGAGTCCGTCAAATGCGAGGCTTCAGGCCATGCATGGCCATGCGGTTGGTAAATTAAACGGACTGGGAGCCCTGAGTTTGAGTTCTGGGAATCCCAGGCGTATCTGGTTTTCAGTTGGGTTGCGCTCGTGAGATCGTCATCGTTGCTTGCACAAGCTTCTTGGTTCAGAAGCTGGAGTTGCTCTGCAGGAGCGGGGCTGATTGAACAGGGTTTGGATGTCCGATCGATGGCTCCCCGACTCCTTCCGGTTGCGCCTGCGGTCCTGAGACTGCCTGCCTTCTCGTTTCCTGCACCGGCTCTACACCGTGAGGAATGTGCATCTGTTTTGAGTTGAGAAGCTCGCTGAAGAAAGGCATATTAATATGTACATATTACTTCAGAACCTATAATATAATACTACACCACTATACAATCCAACATCTGAGCCAGTCTGCTGGGTGCCCTCCCAAAAAAGCCTGCACCAGAAGCTGCCGGTCCCGTT